GCCCTCCTACTTGTAAATATTGAATCTCTTCTATTTAAGGAGGGGAATGGTTTGTAATCTTTGCCTGGGGAAAAATGTGAGGAAGAAGGAATAACTGAGATAGACTATATTGGAGAGCAAAACACTCTTCAGGCTTGGTCCGTGTAGTGGGGTGAATGCTGGTGTTAGAGCAGTGTGCTGATACCRAGACRYTGTGTGTGTCCCAGTCAGGGTGCTGCCACCCACAAATGTGTCGGTAACCATGAGAAAGAACCAGGAGTATGAAATGAGGTGGATAAAACACACTTTTAAATATGTCCGTATAAAACAGAGATATGAAGTCCAATACTGGAAGGACAATCAATATGAAAAGGTAAGCCATAGAAAGAATGGCATTCCTGGATTTCTRTTTGCRYGATGAATGGGAAAGATTATTCCCCTCCTCTCCTCGTTTTGTACTTCTTCCTTCCCCCAGACTCTCCAGACGATTGATATCATCAACGATGAGCCTTCCTTCATCTTCACCCTCCAGATGCTGGAATCATCTACAAAATACAGGGGGAGAATGCGCGCAAGGGTGAATACTGATGGCTACCACGGGCCTTGGAGTGAATGGAGTGAGGAGTTTACCTGGGAAACTGAGAATGGTACTTTTTGCTTTGGCTGCTTTTGTAAGTTATTGTGAAGTGTTAATGGGGAAGTGCTTCTTTAGAGAAATAYACTCTCCTCTCTGGGTGTGAAGTYCAGCAATGACATCTGGCACAACCTGGACATCTCCTAAAGATAAGGGATAGAGAAATGGAGCCGTGTGCTCACTGTGGAGTAGGAGGCCAAATGAGTCAGACCTGAGATGCCTGAAGACATGCTCAGTGTTCCTGTTGGGGCAATGTACCCACACCACTTTTCATGAACATGAACTGATCGCTCTGACACCAATGCAAATGCTATTCAGCATCACAGCAGTCCTGTTTGTTTGGTCTCTCTCACTTTGCAGCATAGCCCAACAGTTAGAAGACCTCTTTGTCATATCATACGATGTGCCATCTGCTCTTCCCTGATCTTGTTGCACAATGAGTGACCAGAATGAAAAACCTGGTACAGAAGCAGCCACTGTGTGAGTAGCTCCCCATTTCTCTTTTCTCTGTTTCAGTTCTGTCACCAGTGGTCCTCCCAGTGATGCTCCCAGTTATCATCATCACTTTGATAATAATCACTCATTGTGGCTATAAATATTTTCTCAGGTAGGTTTGTCCTGTGACTAGGAGATTTAGCAGCATGTTGGCAGTGTGAGTGGAATAAAGTGAGGAAGACTGAGGGTCAGGTGCTGCTCATCCTGCATGAAAGAACAATCTATGTGGGGATGAACCTTGGTGTGCAATGTGTGGGGCCCTGTGCATGTCTGCATGCAGGTGAGAGCTGAGTCATGGCACTTCAGGGCCTTGGTGGGGCCTGGCTGTGCTGAGCACCACTGTATGTATGAGGTGTATTCTGTTCCCTTTGCAGGAAAGGCAAGAGGTAAATCTTGTAAACTTGGTGCTGTTGTTGTTGCAGGAAGAAGAAAAGCTGGGAGGAAAACATTCCAAACCCCAGCAAGAGTCTCCTGATCCAGAGCTACCTGCAGGTAATGGGGAATTGTGTTTTGCAGAGCTGCAGTCTTGGAGAAGACTGACAGGGAGCTGTTCCAGAGTAAAGAGAAAGAGCAACCTGAGGCAGTGAGGGCTAGATGAGTGGACAGTGAGGTGGACTGAGAGCCAGCTGAATGGCAGAGCTGAGAGCACTGTGATCAGCAGCACAGACYCTAGTTGGAGGCAGGTAGCTAGTGGTRTCCCCCAGGAATCAGTGCTGGCTCTGGTCTTGTTCAAATGAGTCATCAGTGGCCTGGATAGAGGGACAAAGTGCATCCTCCTCACATTCTGTGATGATAGAAACCTGGGAGGAGTGGCTGGTAGACCAGAGGGCCATGCTGCTCTTCAGAGAGACCTTGACTGGTTGGAGAGTTGGGTGGAGAGGAACCTCATGAAGATTAACAAAGACAAGTACAGAGTCTTGCACCTAGGGCTAAACAAGCCTATGCACCAGTACAGTCTGGAGGCTGACCAAGATAACCAAGAAGATAACCATGAGCCAGCAATTTTCCATTGTGACCAGGAAGGCCAACGGTATCCTAGGCTGCATTAGGAACAGCATAGTCAGCAAGTTGGAGGAAGTGAATTTCTATTCAGTCCTGGTGAGGCCACATCTGGAGTACTGTCTCCGGTTCTGGGCTTCCCAGTTCAAGAGAGACATGGAACTACTGGAGAGAGTCCAGCACAGAGGTACAACGATGATCATGCAGGGGCCTGGAGCATCTCTCTTATGTAGAGAGAAGCCTCTGATAGGCTGGAATGTCTAGCCTACGGAAGAGAAGGCTGAGAGGAGATCTTATCAATGTTTATAAATTCCTTAAGAGGGGATGTCAAGAGGATGGGGCCTGACTATTTTCAGTGGTAGAACTACTTTTCAGTGGTAGAACAAGAGGCAGCGACCACAAACTGAAGCTCAGGATGTTCCATATGAACATGAGGAAAAACTTCTTGACTGTAAGGGTGACAGGGCAGTGGAACAGGTTGCCTGTGGAGACTGTTGATTCTCCTTCTCTGGAGATACTCAAAACCCACCTGGACACAGTCCTGTGCCACGTACTCTAGGTTACTCTCTTTGTGCAGGGGAGGTGAACTAGAATATCTCCAAATGTCCTTTCTAGCCTTAATTGTTCTGTGATTCTGTGAGTGTTCGGACTAGGGATAAGAAGACTAAGAGGGGATCTTATCAGTGATACAAATACTTAAGGGAAGGTGTTAAGATGATGGGGGTAGACTCTTTTCAATGGTGTCCATTAAGAGAATAAGAGGCAACAAGCATAAACTGAAACACAAGAAGTTCTCTGTGAACATGTTGAAAATCTTTTTTACTGTCAGGGGGTCTGAACAGCAGCACAAGTCCGTAGAAGTTGTGGGGTCTTCTTCTGTGGAGATATTCAAAACCCACCTGGACACAATCTTGGAGAATGTACTTTAAATTACCCTTCTTGAATAGAGAGATTGAATTAGATCATCTCCAGAGATCCCTTCCAACCTTCCAGGTTTTTTTAGGGTAGGTTCTAGGCTCATTTAAGAAATTTTCATTTTTTTAAGCTATAGGAGTTTCTGGAAAAAAAGTATAACATGTAATGTGGTCTGTTGCCAAGACAACAATTCGTAATTGGAAAGCAAAGTGCACACTTAGGTAGGGTTCAATTAAGTAGGAAAAAATCCTCCAAACCAACATCTGGGAAATATATAATAGACATCCCTCTAGATTTCTGCAATAAAACTATTCTAATTTTGCAAGAGTTATACCACTGATTTTATAAAACCTGTTTTCCCCAACACATATTTTTGAATTACATATTTTTGAATTGATTCTATTCTGAGCACACAGGGAGTGTGTTACAGTGTGTTTAGTTACATGGCAAAGCAATTTTTATGATTTACAACATGACCTTTGTGTGAGGCAATGCACACAACTTACAGTATGTTTATGTTTGAGTGAAAGACTTTTAAGCATGACACATTTCTTATTTTGCTGTAAAAAGAACTTACACGGTAATGACGTAGTTCTACACATCATTGTCAAATAGAAAGGAAAAACTAAGGAAGGAAGCTCTGTACCAGACAACAGAATATTTATGCTTATACTAAAGTCTCAAGTTTGGTAGTTTTGCCTTATCTCTATAGTAAAAATTAAAATCTTGTTCCCACTCTAAGAAATACCTCTATAGCTTTGCTTCCGATATAATTGTTTCCTCATAAGTACTCGCTGCTCTTACTGATTTTGAAAGTTTCCCTCCTTTCAGTCAGTTACCTTATCCTAAGCTGTGTTAGCAATGCAGTAGCTTTGTTTCTAGGCAGGACCTGCAGCAGCCTTACCAGTTCTTTACAGGAGCAGCTCCTGCCTTATATATGCTGTTTACATATATATATGTAAAGTTAGGTCAGGGATATGGAAACACAGGTGTGAAGGAACAGTCTTCTGGAGAATAGAGGGAACCTTCTAGTCATGTTAATGAAGTTGTATACAGATTGTCAGTTGCTGTAGGCTCCCCTTTGTCCTTGAGGCTCTTGATTCCACTGCCAGTGACAAACTTTTCCTCATCCTCTCTTTTCCTCATCACTACTTCTTTTTTTCAGAAAGTACACCTAGGAAACTGGCTGACAAACAGTCAGCTAGACTTCAACAAAAACAACTTTTCTGAGAAGATGAACCAGGCCAGTTTGCTTCAAGTCGTGGACAGGTTAGTGAACTTTGTAGAGACACTGTGAGATGTTCTGTCACCAAAAAAAAGTCTAGACCTTCTGAGAATGAGCCTTTTTTTTTTTCCTTCCTTACTATCTTGCTTAATCTGCTTTCTCCGTGAAGATTATTTTCTAATCTTCTTTGTAGCTTCTTTTTATATGTAATGTTCATCACAAGAATATTTCTCAATAGCAGCTTTTACTTTTCCCACATTCAGGCAGAAAAACACTTTGACAGAGTCCCCCGAATGGCAAGTTGAAAAGGCAGAGGTTTCTCAGATTGCGTTGGATCCACAGAACCTATACCATGCTTTAGATGCGCCAGAGCATGCACCAGTTGCCTGCCCATCAAATGAGATGGCTTATCCTTCCTTTCCTTTTTCAAGGGAGAACAGTGCTGATGCAAACACTGCTTCCCAGGCAGCAATCACTTGCTTTGATTTCAATGGGCCATACTTGTACAGCCCAGTGATCTCTTCACAGCCTGGTATGCACCACGCCTTTCAAGCAGACCCAGCAGGAATCCACRGGAAACCAGGGTCCCTTCACTACATCATGCTCCCAAAGGAAGCCTGTTCCCAGGCTCCACAGAGGCAGGCACAGCCAGGAGCACTTCCTCTGCAGCCCTSCTTGCTCCCACACCAGAGGGAAATGATGCAGCACCTCAGCAATGGGGAGGAAATTTCACTGGACCATGGGAAATGCATGCATGTGAGACCAGAAGAGCAGAAAT